GTCGCGTCGGCCGGCCGCGGGCTAACGGCCTCTCGTATCACCTCTCGACTAATTGGCGCGAGAGTGAGAGGCTCCAAGTTACCTGTAGAAAAGAGAAAGGATTACAACACCTGGTGCCGCTTTACCGACACGACGGCATTGTTACCGACGACCGCGCGCTGCGTTTGAAATTCGAGCGCGGATTTACGCGCCGTTGGTTTTGGGAGGGAGCCGACAGTTGGACAGGATGGGGTTGTTTGGGACCTGTTGGACGAAGTCATGCGTCACTGATAGATCATTCCTTTAATTAATAGCTTTAATTACTCTTGCGCAGGACACGACACCTGGGGTCTATACATTCAAAATGTTGGCAAAACTATTTATCCATTGGCTATATCTTATAGTAAAATATATTTCACTAGATTTATAAATTTACCTAACAACATGGCATTTTTAGTTTATTCTGTATCAGTTCCTAAATTATCCAAGTGACATATTGTTTTCTTTTCACTTATTTTAAGTTGGAAAAATGTTATTTTTTGCGCTCTTGGTGGAATATTATCTTCTGGCCATCATTTATGTATTTACAATAAACGGTTATTTGTTTTCAAATAACTTCGCGCGCTCTAAGCATTCATTCATTCATTATGAATTTGTCAATTGCGTACCAATCGGTGAGACAATGCAACAATTAAAAACTGAATGCACATTCATTGCGAACCTATGTATGTACGGTTCCTAATGCACTCATTGTAATTATGTGTTTATTATCTATGCAAGGCTCCAGGAATCGGCAAGGCGAAACATCAATTTTACTAACAGATGAATAGTTACGAGATATGGTCAATTAAACATAGGATTAAATGAGTGGTCGTGCAGCGCGGCATCTATAGGTTTTCTCGTTATATAGTTTATTCCAATATTTAGGAAAATAGTAATATCAAAGTTTTGAACATTCAAAAAGAAAAATAAAATATATCTGTCTACTGTTGTTTTTCTATGTATGTCGTGTAAACCTATAATTAGGACAAATTATCTGCATGTTACTTATTGTACTGTGTAAAAATGTGTATTTCATAACTTTGTCCTGTTAGTTTATCTCAATAAATAAAATATATAAACCTTCCAAAAATTATTCTCTCTGGTGTTGATTCACAAATGTGGGTATTATTAAAATGAAATAGTTTGTAAAGTAAAAATACTTTATTGTTAATATTGATTGTCTTTACTTCATGGTGCTGACTAGATGCACAAGTTTGAATTACATTAGAAGGCTCATGTTGCGCTGAGGCTCACTACCATGTGAAAGTTTAAAGACATTTTTTTAAGTAATTTTACAATAGAAGTAACTTAAGCCAAACATGGTTTTCAGTCTTTCAAATAACTCTTAATGACTAGTACAATTAGAATCACTAATTTTTTAAAGAACAAACTTACATACTGAATAAATATAAATTGTATATATTAATTAAGAAAAAAGACATCTTAAAGATACACATAAGATAAAAACACTGGTTTAATTATATTTATCTAAGTTCTAATTTTTATTCAGAATCAATTCTTCAAAAAGGAATGGCCAAAATATGTGTTGTATACTTAATTTCCTATAAAAATTTAAATAAAATGTGTCAATTTAATTTACAATATATTCACAATATGTGATATCATGATGGATTTCAGTATTTGACATATTAAAAGAACTACATCTTAAGTTGTATAGTATTGTATGTATTATTAGTTTTACATGATATTTGGAAGTGGGTATTGCAAAGTGCACGGCTTCACAACTAAAGGTTTTAAAGATATTGGCTTAATTTGTGTGTCAATATGGCTAACTCTAAGATGTCTGGAGAGATCACTTGTGCGGAAGAAACCCCGGGAACAATACTGGCAGATGTATGGAGTGTGGTTTGTGTGCTGCTTTAGCAAGTGGAACTCCAGCATGGTGGCCGTGGGGAATGTTTTGGTGCAATCACCTATAGAACACTTGAATTTTTCAGCATTCTCATGCTTAAACATAATATGGTGAGCAAGACTCCGTTTTACTCCAAATGCTGCATTACACAAGCCACAGGTGAAAGGCTTTTCACCCGTGTGTTTACGCATATGTACCTCAAGGTTCGAAAATGTCTTCAAACAAATATTGCACTGCCCTGACTTCTCAGAGTGCACTCGTCGTATGTGCGTCTGCAAGTTGCCTTTCATTGCAAAGGCCATGCCACAAAAACTGCAAATGTTCTGTTTTTCGTTTGTATGCAAATTCAGGTGCGCATTCAGTGCAGTCTTTGATTTCATGCACTTGTTACACAGATGGCAGCTGAAGTTCCTCTCCTCACTGTGCACACTTTGATGTTTCCTGACTAGATTTTTGTCAGCAAATTTCTTATCACATATTGGACAAGAATAAGGCTTTTCACCTGTGTGCGTGCGCTTGTGTCGTATCAAAGACGCTGCCTGCCGGAAGCGCTGCGAGCAGAATGGACAGACGTAAGGTCTCTCTCCGGAGTGAACTCTCATGTGTGTGATGATATCATTTTTTCTAAAAAAGCTATTGCCGCACGTTTCACAAGTAAATTTTCTTTCGCGCTCGCAGTGGTAGGTGTCGACGTGCCGCTTCATAGCACCTTTGGTACGGAACTTAGCTTCGCAAAACGAGCAATCGAATGGTTTCTCACCAGTGTGGATGCGCATATGATTTTGCATCGCCGATGGGCTTATTGCAAGCAGACCACAAATAACACATTGTATAGGTGCAGCTTTGGTTCTTCGCACCTTCTTTTTAAACTTTTTTCGTTCTCTCCTTTTAACCTGCTTTTTCTCAATGTTTTGCAAATGTTCAGAAGCCGCATCTGACATATCAAGGTCATGTTCGAATTCGTTTTTAACATTTTCAATCTTAACTTCTACTTCGTTTTTTGTTTGCATTTCGCTGAAATAGTCATTGGATAATGACCGTAAAGTTGTGTCGGTCGCTTCACATTTTTGCACAAATTGGTAGCATACAGATAGCTCAGTAATACAATTAAAACATAACATTGTTGGTAATCCATCTTCTTCATTAATGTTTATATTGACGCATCGCATTATTTTAGCACTGTATTGAATACCATTTTCTTTACTAAATACAGAAATGGTTGCGGACTTATCTAAACACACTCTACACAAATTTAAATCCATACTAATATAAGTTAATCACATTTATTGCATCCAATTTTCTTCTGAAACGAATTGACTAACAAGTAATCGATTATTTTGTCGTATTTTACGATATTCATAAAGTAGTCAACAAAACCGCCATAACCATTATTTGACAACTGTCAATTCTAGTTTTTTTTTATATAGTTTTCTTTAAAGAGTAAAAACTCTAAATGCAAAAGCATTGGATACAAAATTTTAAAGGTTTAAAAATCTTATAAAACGACAAAAATATGAACGACGAAATTTATGAAATAAATTGCAAGTAACCAATGTGCCTGACTGAGTTTGTTTCTAACATTTTAAAACCGGTTCACATTGCTTTAATATTCTCCTTAAAAACATAAACTCGCATTTATTCAATAATCGAATTTAAATTTAACAAAGAAATGAAAAATAATCAACAACCGCTCTAAATCCAAAGCTTTAGAGCTTTAGAGACGTTTTTGATGCTGTTCACAGAGTACTTTGTAACATACTGAGATTGTGCACCCTGATGCTGTTGCAGACAAGGTAATGTTATTTTCAAATTAGGTTCTGGCTTTGTTCAACTGTTCATCAAAATCTTCTTACAATGTCAATCGAAATGCATGTAAAATACATATTTGAGTAGAAAATAAACAACATTTGAATTGAATATGATTTATTTCAAAACGTTTGCATATTTTATATATATATATTGGAAGTTTACTTCATTGTTCTCTATCACAGTCAAGATACACAGTGCTTAAAATGTAGAAAAGAAACAAGCCGAGTTCATTAAAACAGTAAAAAGCAAAATGGAAAAGTTAAGTGTTTGGAAATAAAACAGGGAGGTCGAGTGAAT